AAGTCGGACGCCCAACCGACTGAGCCACCCAGGCACCCCTAATAATAGTGCGTTTTTAATACTGTTGTTGGGAGGATTAAATAAGTACAGCAAGATGTTGTAATTAATTTAACAATCGCTCAAGTGATAGCTATGATTATTACATAAAGCATCTAGAATAGTACATGGTAGATCATTAGTAAGTTACATAGAATAGAACCAAAGAGTGACTCCTGTACAGGTGAGAAAGCTGGAGATCAGTAGGAACTATAAGTTTTACAGATTAACCATAAGAAATAATTTACTTGGGGCGCCTGGGTGGCGCAGTCAGTTAAGCGTCCGACTTCAGCCAGGTCACGATCTCGCGGTCCGGGAGTTCGAGCCCCGCGTCAGGCTCTGGGCTGATGGCTCAGAGCCTGGAGCCTGTTTCCAATTCTGTGTCTCCCTCTCTCTCTGCCCCTTCCCCACTCACGCTCTGTCTCTGTCTCTCTCTGTCCCAAAAATAAATAAACGTTGAAAAAAAAAATTAAAAAAAAAAAAAGAAATAATTTACTTAATAAGTAGACCTACACCATGTTTTAGAGGGACTTTGAATATCAAGCAGGAAACGTTAAGACCTATTCTCACTGACAGCATGGTCCGTGTTTTCCAGAAAGCTGACTGAGGACTATTAATCTGGCAGTGTTACACAGGCTGGACAGAATGGAAGCGAGATATTATACTGCAGAGTCTGGCCAGGAAACCTGGGTAATTGGACACAGAAACAAAGGCACATTTGAAATCAGCATACCCGTTTTTCTAGGGTTTAGGCAAGGTATTAAGAATCTCTACCTTCAGGGGCACCTGGGTGGCTCAGTCCGTTAAGTGTCTCAACTCTTGGTTCCGGCTCAGGTCATGATCTTGCAGCTTTGTGGGGTTCGAGCCCCCACAGTAGGCTCTGCGCTGACCCAGCAGAGCCTGCTTGGGCTTCTCTCTCTGCCACTCCCCCACTCTGCTGTCTTTCTCTCAAAATAAAGAAATAAACTCTAAAAAAGAAAACAAAGGCTCTCTGCCTTTAACCCTGTCCTTTTCTCTAGGTCTGTCAATGGAGTGTACCGGATCGGACTGTATGCTCTTAAAGACATGCCAGCTGGTACCGAGCTCACCTACGATTACAACTTCCATTCCTTTAACGTTGAAAAGCAGGTGAGCATCACGAGTCCATCAAGAGGGAGGTTGAGCGTCCTCACAGCGCCATCCCCGACACCGCCTTCTGTAGACGGCATTGACTTACGGCCGCTGTGAAGTGAATTGGAGACGGTGGTTCTCACCCCACTCACCGACCCCCTTGCCGGCTCTCCCTGGTCTCGGAACTAGAAAGAGACTGCCCGGTCGTGTTTGGTCCTCGGTCAGTTCTTGCCTAGTGAAGAAGTTTTCCCAAATTTTAATCTTTCCTTTCCATGGAAACACATTAAGTTTCTCCTCAGTTATTTTCCTCTGTATGAAAATGTCCTGATTCACACTGTTGGGTGCCCAGGTGCTCAGGACTTCTGTTTGAACTTGTAAGTGAACTGGCAGCCGAGAGTTCTCTTCTCTTTCCTTTCAAAGCAACTGTGCAAGTGTGGCTTTGAGAAGTGTCGAGGGATCATCGGGGGCAAGAGTCAGCGCATGAACGGGCTCACCAGCAGCAAAAGCAGCCAGCCTGTGGCCACTCACAAGAAGTCTGGACGGTCAAAGGAGAAGAGGAAGTCTAAGCACAAGCTGAAGAAAAGGGTGAGTCATGATCTCCTGGCTCTCTCCCCGAACAACTGCTTAGACGCGCTTACTGGCGGGAAGAGGGGCCGGCAGAGGGGCAGCCTCTTACAGCGGCTCTAACATTCTGCGAGGGGATTTCTCATCGGTCCTTCCCTTCCCGCATCTGATCCACTTTAGAGAGGCCACCTCTCCGAAGAGCCCAGTGAAAACATCAACGCTCCCACAAGGTTGACCCCCCAGTTACAAATGAAGCCGATGTCTAATCGAGAAAGGTAAAAAGGAGCTTTTCTTACCTTTGTGTGATTTGCTTGTCGATTTAGAAAATTAAGAAACATCAGTGTGGTTAAATCATTTCTTTTGTGCACGAGGTCTCCAGCCGGGAGTCAGGATATGTAAATTTGGGGTGGGGGGGGATTGTCTCTATTTTTCCGAATTTCTAACTGAAATTGAGCATTTCCGTCAAATATGATGGTAGGCAAACAGTGCGTGTAGTAGTCACAGCTTCCACGACTTAACGTTCACATTTTCATCGCTTGTCCCAGTTGTCACGGACATGTCAAAGTGTCGTTTACGTGCTCTCTCCCTCGAGGTTGCTGCGCCGGTGAAACCTACCACTGGATCTTGTCATGTGGGGAAAAAGGAACGTTTATTTCCGTATCACAATTTCAGGGGTTTTTCAATATTCTGAAAACTGACTATTTGGTTTCCGTTTAATCCTGTGTGTTACACATTAAAAACTGCTTATTAATTTGAAATGTTTAAATACTTTAAAACTTTGTTCAGGGGCGCCTGGGTGGCGCAGTCGGTTAAGCGTCCGACTTCAGCCAGGTCACGATCTCGCGGTCCGGGAGTTCGAGCCCCGCGTCAGGCTCTGGGCTGATGGCTCAGAGCCTGGAGCCTGTTTCCGATTCCGTGTCTCCCTCTCTCTCTGCCCCTCCCCCATTCATGCTCTGTCTCTCTCTGTCCCAAAAATAAATAAACGTTAAAAAAAAAAAATTAAAAAAAAAAAATTAAAAAATAAAATAAAATAAAAATAAAACTTTGTTCAGAGAAGGGTCACATGGGCTTCACCAGCCTGCCCGAGGAACCACGGCACAGAAAAGGTCAAGGTTCCCTGCTTTGTTGATACAGTAATAGAGCAGTGAAAAGGGTCTTTAGGGTCATTTACGCTCTTCCCTGTATTCAGGGGAGGTTTGTCCGTGTCAGAAGGAAGCCAAGGAAATATGTACGTCCTGGGTTTCAAATTGTCCTGGGACGTATTCTGCGTCTTCTGTGACCGTACGCTCCAGTATCTTAGAAAGTTCATCCTTGTTTATAACTTTACTGTAATTTTAGCCCCTTTCATCCTGTATCACTTAAAGTCATAGAAATTTTAAACCTCAGTAAAACAGAGATGATCCAGTCAGGTGGTTTTCTGCTTTGGCCGCATATTAGCCCAGGGAGCTTTGGAGATTCGTGCCGCCCGGGCCACCGTCAGACCACTTAAACCGTAATTTTCAGACGTGGAACCCAGGCATCTACTGATGCCTTCACAAAGCTCTTCAAGATACACCTGACTCGTCCAAACTTCGAGGTCTACGTGGAGGCACTTCACCTAACACATTCTGCCTGGTGTGTCTGTTGTAAATGCCTGCCTTTACCCCCCAGTCCAGTTCTCCCTGTAACAGCGAATCCTGAGCCCATGCTGCATTTTGGCGGCTTCATTTAGAATTTGTGCACGCACTTTGTAAATCTCTGCCTTCCAGTCAGGCTGTCAGGCAATTGATAGAAGTTTTGCAGCTTTTCGGTGGTATTTCGCGAGATACTTGTAAATAATACAGGGGAATGTTTTGGGACACCTGGGTGGTTCATTCGGTTAAGCGTCCAACTCTTGATCTCAGCTCAGGTCTTGATCTCCGTGTCATGAGTTCAAGCCCCATGTTGGGCACGCACTGGGCATTAAGCCTACTTTAAAAATATATATATTTTCTTATATGAATGTTTTATATGGGGGAAAAAAAGCCAGGATGCAAAACTGAATTATGTGTCCCCATATATAATTATTTTTATAATAGCTGGATTAGCTGATAATTATTCATTTATATCATCTTAATAGTGGCTTATATAGAGTAGACATGTAATAAATGCTTATTAAATGAATAAAGGAACTTCCTTCCTTGCTTACAGGAATTTCGTGTTAAAGCATCATGTGTTCTTGGTCCGGAACTGGGAGAAGATCCGGCAGAAACAGGAGGAGGTAAAGCCCGCCAGCGGGGATGTTCACTCAGCATCGCTGTGTACGCGCTGGAACAGCGTCTGCCGAGATGACGGGAACATCAAGTCCGGTAAGGCCTGTTCGTCCCGTGACACGGTCGCAGAGGAATCCCTGCAGCTCCTCTCCAGCGTTGTATTCAAAGATTCTTTTCAGTCTACACCAAAAAAGTTAAGACCCCAACATACGAGCATCAGTCCACAATCAATCACCCGTCAATCTCAGCCACGAGTCTGTGCCCTGGGGGATAGGAAGACACCCCCTCACCAGCTTCCCAGACACTTGCCCGCAGCCTGAGCGTTCCCAGACTTGTGATAGGCAGTGGGTCTTCTGTCTCCCTTCCTGCCCGGAGAATAACTTGCACACAGCACATAGTGACGCCGAGCGCGGGAGACGGTGACAGCAGTGTGAACTTGAAGACTTTCCCCCACGTTCAGATGAGCGTTCTACACACAGACCTTGAGATTCCTTTATGCTTCTTGAGCGAATAACCTAACAGCACTCCTGAGTTCAGGTCTGTCATCCAGAAGAGACTGAAAACAGAGAAACTGGCCTCTCCAAGCACCCTTCCTAGGTAGAAATACCGTTCAAAAGCTCACGCTCCCCTTTGAGTCTTTCTTTCTGTCCCTCAAAAAGTAGACCCATTATGCATGGTGTGTGGGGGAACGAGACAGATTTAGAAATTTGCCTTCTATCCTGTCAATAATTTGATTGGCATCAGTTCTCTGAACTTACGTCCCACTTAGGTCAGATCTTCTGATAATAGTAATTACTTCCCGAGGCTTTGTTACGGGTCAAGCCCTGAGCTAAACACGCTAAGAGCGCTATCTCAGTCTGCACAGTTCTCTCATGAGGGAAGCCCTACCACTATTCCCACGTTGCAGTCAAGAAGCTGAGACACAGAGTGCGAGTAACTCACCCAAAATCACACAGCTAGGAAGTAGGGCAGCCAGCGTTCAAACACAGACCCATTTTGAAGCAGAGAGTTTGCAGCTGCTGTTCTGTACAGCATTTGGCCACTGAGATCAGGCCCCTCTAACTCGTGTTTCCTGACATTCTTTAAGAAGGGGACAAAGAACTTCGTGATCACTAATCTATCTGACCACTTCAAGGACAATAGAGCAAACGGCAAGAATCTGTGGGGGAACTGATTTTCACTTGACCCTTGCAGATGTCTTCATGACCCAGTTCTCCGCCCTGCAGACAGCACGATCTGTTCGAACGCGACGGCTGGCAGCAGCTGAGGAGAACATTGAGGTGGCGCGGGCAGCCCGCCTTGCCCAGATCTTCAAAGAGATCTGTGACGGCATCATCTCCTACAAAGGTGACCACGTCCACCCCGAAGGCTTTCTCCTCCTCTTCCTGTACAAATCCTGTCTCTTACCCTCACCCGAGACACCCAAGATCAAGAACAATGGACGCTCAGGGCTAGGGGTTCAGGAGGTGACTTCACTCTTCCTGGTCAGAGTGTAGAATTCATAGGAGTGGCTTTCGTCTTTGGGGAGTGCTGACAGGGTCTCATTCCTTGATCGCCTCTGTCAATCCTTGGTATTTATGGAATTCTACCACAGCTAAGGACTACATTCAGGAATCACATGTCTTAGCTGTAGAACAGAAAGGACCAGTCTCTGTCTTGGATGTAATATTCCTGAATGACACAGTGGATTAGCAATCCAAGGAGAAGGGTGTTGTGAACATACAACATCAGTGTTTCTTAACCTTGTTTTTTCAACTTTTTTTTTTTTTTTTTTTTTTTAAGTAATCTCTACTTGGGGTTGAACTCACACCCCTGAGATCGAGACCCGCAGCTCCACCAACTGAGCCTGCCAGGTGCCCCCTTAAGCTTTTTTGATTGACCAAAAGACCTTTGAGAGTCTAATAAAAGCTGTGGACTCTTTCCCCAGAAAAATGTATAACTTTGCATGTATTTTGGAGAGTTCACGGGCCCTGGCCCCCACATTAAGGAAAAGGACATAAAGTTGCAAGAAAATTACTTTAAAAGCATTTTCAGGCAAACACTTTTATCACATCTTTCCTCTTTCAAGACCTCTTTTGAGTAGTATGTGTTGGGGGCGACCGTGGGGAAGGAGAGTTTTTAACTTGGGGAAGGTAGTTTGGTAACATTCGTGACTTTTTCTGACCAGGAAATTTGGAGATGTTTAGAATGAAAGATTTTAGGGACATCTGGGTGGCTGATTTGGTTAAGCGGCCAACTTGATTTTGGTTCGGGTCACGTTCTCACTGTCATTAGATCGAGCCCCTCGTTGGGCTCTGTGCTAGATGTGGAGCCTGCTTGGGATTCATTCATTCTCTCTCTCTCTCTCTCTCTCTCTCTCTCTCTCTCCCTCTCCCTCTCCCCCTCTCTCTCTCTCCCTCTTTCCCTCCCTCTCTCCCTCCCCATCCTTCCCTGTCTCTCCCCTTCTCCCCCTCTCCCTCTCTCCTTCCCTCCCAACTCCCCCACTGCCCTCCACTCTTGTGAGCACTCTCCCTCAAAAAAATAAGCAAAAGGAGAGAGTTTGACAAATACTTGCAGCTTTTTGTTATCAGTTTGGGCCTATTTCTCCCTCTGTCTCGCTAGATTCTGAGGAACTTCGCTTTCCCTCTCTTTTTTCTCAGTCCATTCCTTAGCTCCATGTTTTAGTGGCTCTTTGCAGTTTTGTTAACCTAAGGATATGGAGAAGAAAGGGGGACCAGCCTGTCCTAAGATTTAGTTTTGTGGCACCTGTTCTGTTTCCATCCCCAAAAAGTCACACCCCCTTTGCCAGCCAGCCCTGCCTGTTGGGACGTGAGTCTGCAGCCAGCGTGTCTGCATGTCCCCACCTTCTGGGCAGGAGACAACAGGCTGTTTCTCTTTAGTAGTTGCTAGAAAGAAAGGTGGTGAATGAAAGTCCCTCAAAAATTAAAGATGGAAATAGAAAAAGTAAATAGCTAGTAATACCATATGACCCAGTAATCACACTACTGGCATTTACTCCAAACGAAAATTCTAAGTAAAAAAGATAGGTGTGTCCCTGTGTTTTTTGCAGCATTATTTAGAAGGGCCAGGATGTGGGAGCAGCCCAAGCGTCCACCCATGAATGAGTGGATAAGGATGATGTCGTAAATACACACGGTGGAATATTACTTGGCCATTAAAAAGAAGGAAATCTTGCTGTTTGTGACAACATAGATGGACTTAACAGGGCATTATGTTTAGTGACATAAGTCAGACAGAGATTTCACTTGTGTGTGGAATCTAAAAAGCAAAACGAGCAAATAAATAGATTCTTAAATACAGAGAACAAACTGGAGGTTGCTGGAGGGAGAGGGTGGGGGAAGATGGGTGAAATAGATAAAGGAGATTAAGATTTGCAGTTGTGAGATAAGTAAGTCCAGGGGCTAAAGACTGCGGCCCAGGGAGGGTAGCCCCCCAGGGAGGGTAGCCCGTAGTCCTGCAATGACGTGTGTGGCCACCTGTGAGCAACAGGTGGCGTGTGGCATCATCAGATCACATGTTGCATGCCTGGAACCAAGACAGCATTCTGTGGTAACGAGTCTTCAGTAACAAAGTAGAATTTTTAAAAAGAAAGTAGGTAAGGTAGGTAGCAGCCCCACAGGTTGAATTCTGTTTTCATGATCTGGAGAAACCGTGTTATAAGGAAACTGATTCCAGGAAATATTCACTATCAAATTATTCCAAATTATTCACTATCTGGAATTTATTTGAATCCACACCAACAGAGTAATATTAACAGTGGGCCATTGACAGGAACTAGAAAATATTTGGGGGTAAGACGTTCTTTGCGTTAGTAAAACGTGGCGAGCGGGGAGTTGCCCTGAGCAGCTGGCTCTGCTGTGATAATTTCCCATCTCTCACTCCTCATAGAAGGTTGTTCTCCTTATCCAGCTAACAGGTGTGGCATTTCAGGCACATCTCCCTCATCTTCACATTCCAGGTAATCCCGAGGTGATCTTCCCTGCCTCGGTGCCCCCATTCCTGAAATGTCCATGGCCACCCTCAAAACACACTTGGATTTTTTCCCCCTAACTTTTAATTTTGGGGATCCTATTTTTTGGCCCGCAGTTAGTACTGGCCTCTCTTGCATCATGTAGCCCTGAAACCTTGCCTTCTCTGCAGATCCTTCCCGACAAGTCCTGGCCGCGCCCCTTCTGAGCCTCCCCCCGAAGAAAAAGTAAGTTCACAAATTGGGGAATCATCTGAGTTGTAGACGGGTGCCGAGCGCAGCGGACTGATGCCCTGCCTTTGTGCCCCAGGAACGCTGATTATTACGAGAAGATCTCTGACCCCCTGGACCTGGCCACCGTAGAGAGGCGCATCCTCACTGGCCACTACAAGACCGTGGAGGCTTTTGACGCCGACATGCTCAAGGTCTTTCGGAATGCTGAGGTATTTTCCCGGACTTCAGACGTGCATTCACAGTTTTGAAGAGAACTTTTCCAGAAGTTAAAGATTTTTACCCTTTTATCAAACTAGATTTCTGGCTACAAAATGCAACAATTTTTTTTTTTTTTTTGAGAGGGAGAGAGAGAGAGCGTGCACTCCAGAGCAGGGGAGGGGCAGAGAGAGAGAGAGAGAATCCCACGAGAGAGAGAGAGAGAGAGAGAATCCCACGCAGGCCTGTCAGCACAGAGCCCAATTTGGGGCTGGATCCCCACAACCCCAGGATCACGACCTGATCCAAAATCAAGAGTCAGATGCTCAACCGACTGAGCTACCCAGGCGCCCCGAAAGGCAACAGTTTTTATTGAATACCCTCTGGGAAAGGGTTACAGCGTACTCAATATTGTAGAGTCTCGTGTAATAACGACACTGATGTTACCAGAATGGAAGGTTAAATTATACTCCCAAAAAAGAAATTTTTGTAAAAGCCTAATTTAGTATTGAATGTTTGTATCACATAATACGTATTGCCTTACCACACTTAGGTTGTCTGTAGTGTCTTTCCTCAAGACACTAAGTGTATGTGAAATACACAGAAATATGTACAGTACAGTAAACCAAACTAAATCCTACGGATGGGATTGAGGGGTGTTAGACCAATGGTTGTAGAATAGCCGATGCTCATTGAAGAGAAGGTGACCTCGGCCTGATTTAAAGGAGAGGATGGAGTATTGTAGGGTACGTAGGGATGGGGAGGAGTCTCAGTGATTTTAAAATACCTTGGGAAGGACCAGGAAGAACAAGGGGCTGCGAGGTACGGGAAGAACCAAGGTGGAAGGCAGAAACGAGAGAAAGACGGGTAGGAGATAGATAGCTCTGTCTGGAATTACAACATGCTTTCTGCTGAAACCCATGCGCGTGCAGAGCTCACGGCTCCGTCCCTGGCACGTGCAGGTGCAGGACAGAGTACGGGCTCTGCCCGCTGCCCCCACGACAGTTGCTGTGTTTGCCCCTGATGCGCAGTGAGGCCTGTGGCCGAGGCGGGTGGCGGCGGCAGCGTGAATGGGAAACCGTCTTGCAGATTCTGACTTGAATTCATGTTAGTTGATATTTGACGGAATTGGAAATCCGTTAACCAGAGCGGGAGGATGAAACTCCTCCTGCCTCCTCAGGTTTGTCCGAAGGGAGCTCTTTGCCCACCACGGGGCTCCGCCTCCCGGCCCCGAGGAGAGGACTCGAAGCTGTGCTGTCAGCCGGCCAGCCGCCCCCTCCAGGTACACGCTTGAGCCCCGCTGACGAGCACATGCGTTTCTTTCCTCTGCTCTCTTCAGAAGTACTACGGGCGTAAATCCCCCATCGGGAGAGATGTCTGCCGCCTGCGGAAGACCTACTACAACGCCCGGCACGAGGCGTCGGCCCAGATCGACGAGATCGTGGGAGAGACGGCGAGCGAGGCAGACGGCAGCGAGGCCTCCGTCTCCGAGAAGGAGAACGTGCACGAGAAGGACGACGACGTCATCCGCTGTGTGTGCGGCCTGCACAAGGACGAAGGCCTCATGATCCAGTGTGACAAGTGCATGGTGAGCCCCGGGGGCCACAGGCCGGGGCCTCGGCCCTCGCTGCTCCCAGATGACCTTTCTCCTGTCTTCTTCCTCTTTCCCGTTCTCCTTCCCGCTTTCCCACCTCTCCGTCCCCCTGCCCGGGTCTTGGGGAGGCCGGACCCAGGGATTGTGTGGGAAGGAGCTGTGCAGAGCAGCGCTGCCCCCTGTGGCCCTGACGCAGGCACAGCGAGGCTCCGCGCTTGCCGCCTTACCAGATGGGAAGGGGGCCACGAGTGGCACACAGGGTGGTCGGGAGCCCGGGATTAGGCCACAGCACGGAGAAACGCTGCGCGGGGCGCCTGGGGGGCTCGGTCCGTCAAACGCCAGACTCTTGACTTCGGCTCAGGTCATGATGTCACGGTCTGTGGGATCGAGCCCCGCGTCGGGCTCTGTGCTGACAGCATGGAGCCTGCTAGGGATTCTCTCTCTCTCTCTCTCTCTCTCTCTCTCTCTCTCTCTCCTCTGTCCTTCTCTCTCTCTCTTTCTCACTCTCTCAAAAATAAATAAAAACTTTAAAAAAAGAAAAAGAAACATTGTGTGACTAAGGCCTCCGCAGCAGCCGGGTCACGGCTGTGTGCTACTCAGTAAGTAGTTTGCTTCTATAACCCTACGTCCCTCTGTTCTCTGTCCAGCTCCACATTTTATTTGCCCGGGTGTGTGTGTGTGTGTCCTAAAGCGATCGGTACATGTATGTTCACACACATTCACATCCCTTAGTTCCTGTTTGACTTCACCCTGTCCCACTGTTTCGTTTCGTTATTCTTTGCCCCCGGCCCTTCTCGGTAAGTGTAAGGCCCCCTCCCAACCGCACTTTGTCCCCACAGGTGTGGCAGCACTGTGACTGTATGGGGGTGAACTCAGACGTGGAGCACTACCTCTGTGAGCAGTGCGACCCAAGGCCTGTGGACAGAGTAAGCTGCCCTCTGGTGACAGTCTGATCGGCAAGCGGGCCTCCTACCTGCCCTGCTCCTGATGCACTGACTTTCCTTTGATAAGTTACCCAACCTCTCTGGGCCTCAGGTTCTTACAGTTTACCCTGAGGGTAACAGTTCCGCCCTTTCCTTTCTCAAGTGTGTGGTCAAAGGGGAAATAAAACACTCAGAAACCTGCGGAAGGAATGGTGCTCTATAAACACTGTCTGCTCTCCATGAAAAAAGTACTTGTGAAGTCCAAGCTCAGTACTCTAAATACCACTTAGGTTAAGTAGTGTTTAAGTGAAAAGAGCATGGAGTCCGAGTCCACAGGGTTAGTCTCAGTCCACTTTCCGGGGGAGGCGGTGGGTTGAGTGACTCTCCCACATTACCAGGTGGGTGTTTGTCTTGTTCTGCTCTGTGTGTGCATGCGGTCTCGGGCTGCTCTGTAAAGGGAAGCGTTGTGGGCCGAACGTCTTCGCGGCAGTGTCGTCATTCAGAGCGGCATTTCCGTGCTGCGAGGGACGCACTGCAGAATGTCTGGCTTCCCCGGCACGTGGCTTCTAAATGCCAGCAGCTTCCCTGCATCACTGTGACACTGCGAGCGTCCCCCTCACGCGCTGTCCCGCTCCCGTGGGGCCCAGGGCAGCCGCACAAGCTGTGCTCCATGCAGTCAGTCGGGAACGCACGGCCTTCGCTTTCCCGGTCCAGTAGGGTTAGAATGGAGACCAGTAGGCGGGACGTGGCAGTCACGGCCCTGACCCATTGGCTTTTCGTCCTTACCAGGAGGTACCCATGACCCCTCGGCCCCACTACGCCCAGCCCGGCTGTGTCTACTTCATCTGTTTGCTCCGAGATGACCTGTTGCTTCGTCAAGGTGCGTACACGCGAGCTGGCCCCACCTTTCCTCGCAGCAGGACTGTCTGCCGTCCACACAGCACTGTCACCACACAGCCTTGCGTGGCCACAGAATACAGCTGACCCTGGAACACAGCAGGTTTAGGGGCACCAGCCTCCCCCCGCCCCATGCAGTCAAAAATCCACGTATGACCTTTTGTTTTTTTTTAAGTTACTGTATTTATTTTGAGAGAGAGCACAAGCTGGGGAGGGGCAGAGAGTTGG